TCCTTTTTCTAACCTTCCTTTTTTCAACATCCGAGGGAGTTCGACGACCCCTTTCGCTCGATCGTTCGAAAGGATCGAACGCGCTCTAATTTCCTATCTACGTTCCAAAATATCATTTATTTTACACTTAAAGTACTTACTCGTAATTAGAATTGATCGGATAAGGAACATGTATCTAAATGGTTAACTTTGGTTTATTCTAAACTTTTCTCGTGGTTTTAAAACCTGTCAATGGGAACTAACGAGCATGAATTAAATGAATGGATACGTTGTGCAACGCATCGTCGTTATGTTAAGTGACAAAACGTGTATCCTTTTTAGTATACTTTTGACATCAGCCACCAAAACGAACATGGACAACAAAGTTTTCGAATCCTCGTTCTAACTTAAACATTAACATTAACAATTGCTTTTCTTTCGAAGAAGCAATCGTTATGGTTGGAACGCTTTGCTTTTTACCAATGAAATAACTGCGAGTTATGCGAGAGAGGAAGTGAATTTGCAATTTTTCTTCGATTTCCTATTATGCGTGCACGCGGTGAGAGTCATTTTTTCAAAAATATCCTGTGGATATAGAGAACGAACGAGAGAATAGTGAAAGGATGATTATCGAATGTCTCGAGAAGAACTTCGAAAGTAAAAGGAATATGCAAATCGACCAAATTTTTCTTCTTAATCTTCATAAAAATGACCAGACAAATTGAATCATTATTTTTTCCTCTTTAATTAGTCAACATTTTCGATTGATTTCATTTAATCGTTTCTTCTTTTTTTTTTTTTTCGTCAAATTGCTCTTAACTTTTGTTGTCTTGGTCAACTCTCTCGTTATAGTCGAGCTGTTTGCTGAAGGATCGATTCACGTTACGTTACGGATTCTAAAGACATTTTTAAAGTTCGTCGGAGAAAGGCACGAAGGTACAAAAGGAAGGAACGGAAACTTTCCTAAAGGCGTATGCTATACCAGGAAATATAGACACTCGTACGATACACGTCGGGAAGTTGCACATTTTTATGAGAAAAAAAGTTATATGAGAATGTGAAACAATTCATTGGATCTCTCTCTTTCTCAAAAATAAAAGTCTACGAGATAATAGTAAAACAAAATGAATATTTTGTTATTTGTTACAAGGAAAATATATAATATAATCGGGAGTGTCGTTTGTGCCGAATTGTTACGCTTGGAAAATAACTTTCACATAGAGAAGTATCGTGGTCGCATACAACCATGCGCATTTGATCTGTTCTATTTTAATGTTTTGTTTGATTTTTATTTAAAAGAAAGAATATTAATACAAAATTCGTGTCTTAAAAAACGAAGAAAATATACGTTGACCAGAGACTTTTAATAATTTAAGTAAATAGGACTGTAGAACTTATTCGATCGGTCTAAATCAATTTGCATATTTAAACGAACTTCTTATGCAATTCTATGCAAAATATTGGAGAAGCTTATACAATCTTGTAAACAGAAGTGTAGGATAAGGTATCTATCGATGATGGGAGAGAGAGAGAGAGAGAAAGAGAGAGTAGGACTTTGAACGAATGATACTTAACTAAATGAGTCTCCAAATATTCGATATTTTATGAGCTGTCAAGGCTACAAAACCATAAAAATGGAACTACTATTTAAATAAGAAATAACAAGACTGATCACATTCTATTCTGAATAACTTAATATGGGATGGAATTTATAATAATCTCTGGTCTTTCGTGAACTTTTAAAAATGATCAGGTCAATCGTAATAATTCTCGAAATAAAATGATTTTCGTAATATTTATTTCGTAATAATAGTAATATCAATGAAATCGTAAAAATAATTTAATCATTTAATTCTATTTCATATTGTTAGTCGAGTATTATTTATTAACGCTTGACAAATAACATAAAAATAAAAAAAGAAATGAATTTTTCTAGAAAATGAATCTACTAGATTTTAATGATCCAAACTAATTGATAAAAGATAGAAACAAATCAAACGAATGGATATATAAAATCGGTTCATTAAATCTCGTGAACATTGTCTCTTTATCTGTACGCTTGAAAAATTTCCTGAAATTTAGCTCGAAAGTCACAAACAAAGCATTAACAAATATGTCCAAAAATTATGATATAACGTTTAGATAATTTATTAATATATAAAACAAAAAGAAAAGAGTTCCATATTTGGATGTATTATATATAAATATTTATAGTAGGTATACTGGTCACAATTTTTGGTCAAAACGAAACATATTGAAATAAAAAAGAAAGACATTTTTTGTTCGCATTGGAAATTCATGGAATTGAATGTTTAGGAGTTAATTAAAAAAATCTAGTTCTGCCCAATGCCATTTGGATTGCAACATCATCCGGGGCCAACATCTGCCAGGTATAAAAGGTCGAAATACCTTCGAAAAGATGCTTAACTTCTCGGCATACTCCGAACGACCAACATGAGATTTCTTCTGCTAACAGTGGTAAGGGTGTTCTCTAATCAACCCTGTTTTCTTTATTTCTTTTATTTTTCTCTTCAACTTGCGTCATTCCAATTATCCGAGTACGAATTTCAATGCAAAATTACAGACATACCAGTTTCATTATTTGCACGTATCACGTTACACATTATGCAAAGACGGAACGTTTTATGGAATCAGAAAACTTTTAAAAAGAAAAAACATTTGTTTATTATAATTTGAATGTATAAACGAAAAGAAACTAAAGTAACAAATAAGATTATATGGGATAGAAGTTTGGAGAGAAAAAAAATAGAAAAATATTTCATAATCGTCTAAACCTGTTATATTACGCAACACGATTGACAAATACGACTGATACTCGAATGGAATATTTCTAGATTTAATTATTAATTTAATTTTTCTCAGATATAAATAGATTAATTTGATTTCTGTTTGTTCAATAGTTGTGGTGCTCGGTGGTAGCAGTAACAGTTGCTGTTAATAAACCAAAGAGAGATATTTTATTGGGTGATCCACGTTACGGAACTGATTATCATAAGCATGATCATCATGGGAACGAGTTAGAAGTATCCAGATCACTCGGTGGCTATGTCGGTTCTTACAGTGTTTTGGACGATGAGGTAAAACAAGGTTATGGTCCACCTAATTATCAATCCAACAAACCATTGAATTTAGATCAATATACAAGTGTAAAAAACAATGCTCAACTTCCAGTACCTGCTTATGGAGTACCAGAGGTAAATAAACAAATGACGATAATTCATTTCAACAGAAATTAATTTTCAAATGATCATTTCATTAGGTTAATCAAGTAGAAGTACCAAGCAAACAGTATTTAACTCCTGTTATCGAGGCAGCTAACAAGGTTCATACGAAAACTCATACGACTTATTCAAAACCAGTCGAGGTTATATTTCTAATTTCTATATATTTTAGTTCGCTATATATGTTTTATGTAATAACACGATAACAGATATTTATTTTTTCAAAAGAATTTTATTACAAAATATTATTTCTAGAAGGTTGTACCACATAAAGAAACTGTAGACCATTTAGCAACTTCGGTCAAGGTTACTTCTCCTGTTACTTCTTATGGAGAACCTGTCGAAGTTAAAGTAAATATTACAATTATTTGTTAACTTTCTTTCAAATTCCAATGAGGAGATTTTACAATGAATTCTATTTCAGACTGTAGAAAACACTCAAAAGTCAACGTCGTACGAAGTTCCAGCGGTACAGGTGAGTCGAGTTGTTAGAGGGGAAAAAAAAACCATTGATAATCTAATGTGATGTGATTTTTTCAAAGACCTCGGTCGTGTCGTTACTCGACACAAAAGTCGAACAGGACGTAGTTCCAACGATCCAGGATCATTTGGAAGAAACTGTTCACAAAACTCAGGTGAAAACTCAGCTGACCGTACCGCTAGGTAAATATATATAAAAAACAACAAATAAGAATAACTAAATATAATAATATTAATTACAACTAAGAAGAGAAAATGATTTATTAACAGTTCCAGATGTATCGCATCAAACTTCCCCAGCGGTAGATTCGAGTTTAGTCTTTCCAGTGAATAATCTTCCAACTAGTTCCGTTGGCAACGTTGATTTTTCACACTTCGCACCCCCGACGATTAATGGTGACACTACGTTCAACGATCATTTGCAAAGTCAATCCGACTTTGACTCAGCCTATCAAGCTTATCTCCGAAACATTGGTAGTTTCGGCAGTCAACAGAAAATATTGACCGACCAATTTCCTAATCTATACGTTAGTCCATACACTTACGGCGTTCCTTATCAATTCCCACAATCCTTGTACACTTCGCAAGTTCATCAATCTCTGCCTTCTCAGCTACATAATTTAGTTCCTTATCCGTTAGCAGCTAATAGTCATTTGTTCAAAAGTAACGCCGATGTTAAACAATTTGGACCGATTGGCACATTTCTCCAAGAAACCTTCCCTAATTTTCCATTCCAATTTCCCCAACTCCCAAATTTCAGTTCGATCTTCCAATTACCAACTCCAGCTCCAGCCCCGGAGGTAGAAAATCTTAAAACTGTCCAAGTTCAGAAACCAGTGGAAGTTAAAACGTTAGAGACAACCGATAATCTGTTCGATAGCAAACCAGTTACTCTTGATACTTCGTTGACGAAGACAACTACAGATACTACCGAGAAAGTATCGAACGAATATCTCCAACCCGTTGATAAAAATGGTGCGTACGTTTATTAAAAATAAAATTAACATAAGAACTATACAAGTTTGTTAGATTCATATAACATAAACATGTGAATCAATTTTTAGAAATTAATAAATCACACCTAAATTACAATACACAGGATGTAACATACAACTTCGTCGATATTATAAGTAAATAAATTCGTTTTATTACAAACATTTTCCAATGCAATCGATCAACACAATCCTGTCTCACTCTTTATATATTATACAATCATTATTTTACTTTAGAGATTTATTTTATATTAGAAGAAATAAATGATAATATTTATCATTAATCAATATGTTATATAAGTTTAGAACAAAAGGAGGAAGCTGACGCGATTTTCCTCTACCACAGACGACATTTTTTAATTGGATTCATATTAGACCCCAAAGGACATTTCCAAGCTTCGCTAAATTCCTTCGAATTCTTGAGTACTGCTCTAAGTCTCACATGACCCGGACAATGAGAATCTTGAAGCATCCATTTTAAGGAGGACGCGGTATACGCCTCGCACCATAACTAAAAATACGTCAAACCAACTTGGTATTCATTCATCGAAACGCGCGCGAACTTTTTTCAAAACTTCCAATTAGATTATCTTACGTGAGCGAAACTAAGAAAGAGAAGTTGTTCGTGCGTTAGATGAGTAAATCCGGGAAGTAATGGTTCTTCACCGTGTCTGGCCTTCCATCTTTCGTAAGCAATGACAGCCTCTCTTAAACCACCATTGTCGGCTATATTTTCTCCCAAAGTCAATTCGCCGTTTATGTAATCGTCCACCTATTCGGACAATATTCAATTTAATTATGATCGAATGGTCGTTCAACTCGTAAAATCATTCGGATTCTAATACTTATTTTAATCATTTTATACCTCGTCTTCGTAATAACTATTATAATGATCTATAAAACATTGGGTCCTCTCGGTGTACTCTGAAATCGTTTCATTTGTCCACCATTGTCTTAAATTTCCATTACTATCGTATTGTCTACCACTGTTGTCGAAACCATGCGTCAATTCGTGTCCAAGTACTGTACCGATAGCACCGTAATTTAAAGCTCTGCAATGTACACATTTTTTCTTTCGATACAATCAACATTATTTTCATATGCATACATTTATCAATTAACAAAGTTGGTCGGGATTCATTGAATTTTTGTTAATTCTTACTCTAGTCCAAGTTCGTAGAATGGAAACTGGAGAATTCCAGCAGGAATAGCTGCACGTATTTGTCAAAAAATCAAAATAAATATGTAATATATAAGTATAGTTATTATAAAAATATATATATATGAATGTAGAAATATGTTGTATTTACGAACTAATTTGATTCACTTGAAAAGTATGGAAGGCGTTGACGTCCGTTGGATCTGTCACCCAACTTTAAATAATGTGGCCACAATATTAATTACATATATATATACATTTTTCATTATTTTATTATTTATTCCAAGTAAATATGTGGATATTTACTCACAACGATTCGTTATACAAATTGTTATCGTGAAGACATTCCAATTTAGCGAGCGAAATTGATCGAACGACTTGTAACATATTGTCTAAATATTTCGTTTTCGATAAATTTATCTGAAAAATGATATAAAATAATATTAGAAAATACATGGAAAAATATATTAGACGTTAGATATTTTCATTAATTCAAAGACAGTGGTCACGAGTACTGTTTCTTTGATGAGAGTTTACTTTCTGAAGATATTAATAATGAATAAATGCGTGGGCGCGTATTTACATCTTCGTAATATTCATCGAGTTCACCCTCCTCGAAGAGCCACTCCGGATGGCCAATTTCCAAAGACATTTTATCACTCTTTTCTAACGTCACTTTTTTAGTCTCTTTATCCATCCAATCAGTTTTTCGAACCAACGTAGCAAAAGATGCTCTAATATCTTCTAACATTTCGCGAACTTTAGGTGCCTTTTCTTTGTGAAACGATTTATCAACGAATAGCCATGATACTGCCATGCCTAAATAATTATTAGTTGAATAAAACAACTAATTTTGTATTATTACAATATTATCAATATAAGTTTGTATAACTATTTAGGATGATATACGTACTGACCCATTAGTTGGTTTACTGCCTCGGCACAATACAATGACTGGGATGTACCGATTTCAACGTTCATTAACGAGTGAAGATAATTTAACCATACTTTTCGTAAGTTTTCCGAAGAATGTGGAACAACTATGTCGACAACGACCCACCATATATACGTTTCTTTAAGAGAATCAACATTTTTATCAACGATAAGTGATCCAACTGATATGAATTTGAAAACATACCTATATCTTGTTCATCCCTCGAAGCAACGACCAAAGCCAAATCTTTCAAATATTCCAAATTCCCCACGAGAACTTTGTCTTTCCCCGAAAGATTCAAAGTAACAACATCTTGAAAAAGCAACTCGATAAAAGGTCTCCAAATAATTTTAGGCGTTAGACTCGAATTAACTTCGATCACGTATTCGTCTGTCAATCTTTGAAGATCATCGACAAACATATAATCTTCGTCTTTAATATTTTCTTCTGTCAAACTCGTGTTAACGTTGAAATTAGTGAGCTGTTTGAAAAAGATTGAAAAGAAAAAAAAAAAGAAAAAACACAAAGTCACATCAAAGGTGATGTTTTAAAATACACTAATTGAACATGTCAATCATAGTTAACGATTAGAAAAATATAATGAAAGCTTGCACGGAATTAGACAACTATCAATCGCAATGTCGGATGTTAGAAATGACAAATGTTTCGCAATCATGTGAAATGAAAATTCTTTTGAAATGTAGCTATACTTGCAAAATAATAATTGATATGTAATCTTCTTGCGAAAAATGATGCAACTACGGAACTACGAGAGTAAACTCACCAAATACAAAACGGTACTAAGTTCATAAATCTGCGTAGCTAAATCTGCCACATCGCTTTCCTTGGGAAAGGTATTTTCATTTTCTAAGGTGCAAGAATCCAACGTGCCATTGCTTATAACTTCCTTGATAACGTTCGACATATATAACAGTTCCACTTCTAAATCTTCGTCTATGTCGTCCAACGTTCTATCTAATTTTCTCATTCGTAATCTAATCGATTGCAAACGATGTTCTAACTCTTTGTCACTTAAACAAATTACGTTATTTTCATTAATAACCACGCATACATTTATAGATCATTTCATTAAAATTACATTAAATTTGTAAAAGTAAAAAACAGGATTAAGTTAGTACTGTTACCTGGGGAAAGGACTACCCATGATTGGTGTATCAAGAAAAATAACATTTTTGCTACCATTTCTAGGATCAGGTAGAACGTCGAGACCAATTAGAACGTCCCTTCCAAGAATTCTTTTAACTCTAGCCATTTGGTCGATGTAATTTCTGGTCTCCTTCGTAATTGCCGCAGGGGTTGAGGGTAAATTGAGCAGTTCCAACAACTCGAATAACGGCGATAGTCCTAACTTGTCCATCGACTCTGAAAAATCAACTAATATTATATAAACAGAGAAAATTGTCTTCAAATGTTTAACAATCGTGTTAGAAAAATGAGTATACTATTTTATTTATAAAACGAGACACGCACCAACGTCCAAGCAACTGGTATACAAAATTTGCGTTTGTTGCACAGACCAAGGTGCATCTTCGTCGCTAATATTTGTTCTTAACAAATCTCTAATCATCCTAGCTACTCGATCGGTTCGTTCGTTGAACCAAGAATTTGTTAGACTAGAATCCGGTATCGGATGTTCTCGGGGCCATCTGCCGCAAGTATATCTACGAATTCATATAAAAAAAAAAAAAAAATAACAAGAAAATACGACATGTGTTAACATTTTATACAATTTTTATTCGAAGACGTATAAGTAGGAATGGTTGCGGTCATTAAGGTGCATCGTGGGTAGATATCTTTGCAACACACACTTGTCCATTTGTTGACAATTTTATAGAGACAATACTCACTTATAAAAATCGTCGCAAGGATCTACAGACGGATCCATAGATTCCTTAAGACTAGCAGCTTATCGAACAAAATAATGTTGTAAATCATTATCAATTTCTTTTTACATTTTTATACAACATTTATTCTAATTGTACCCATTAGAAAATACACGTCAATCTTATCACCTCGCATAAATCTTATACGTAATCATATCGCGTTCATATAAATCATGCTTACCTATCCTCACGCAATCTTCAGAATCACATAGTTTCATATCGGGTTTAATCCTAGAGTCTGAAACAAACAACCATCGGATGAAAATTGTAAGCTACGTAATCTTGATAACCAATTATTATTTGACGTTACAAATTATAACATGAGATTGCAAATATCAATGAAAAAAATATTCTTTTCACAATCTAACATTTGAAGGATTACTTACAAAGTATAGAAAGTACCAATACTGCAACGAATAAGGAAGCCATCAAAATGAATAGAACTATCATCAAAAGACTGGATATTTGGTTACGTTTCTTCAAACTATAAAAAGTATTAAAGCTCTGATAAAATAAACAATCTAACGGTAGTATTCAATTTTATAGATTTTATTTAGAATGTCTATAACACTGCTTTCATGAAATTTAAACAATTGCGTAAAGCATGATTTTATATAAGAAGTCAATTGACATATTATAAAAGAACAAATTCTAATATAAAAGACTAATTTAAATATTTTCTTACAAAGTTTTTTTGGATTTGACGGAAACCAAATTCCTCTGGCTACCAATCGAGTATACGGACGCAGTCTCATTTTCTTCTACAAACAAACGAACAAATGAAAACAAATTTCATTAATAAAATTTGATAATTCGTTCATCGAAATAAAGTAAAAGAATTACCAGTCAACTTTCTTTAATCACTTTAGACACGCAAACTCTAGTTCACGATTCTAAAAGACTACATAATTCAAATCGGATGTTAGAAAGTAATCAAAATGTTAACGAGAATTATTCGGAATGTCTACAAGAAAGAAGGTGACATCTCAATGATCAAATTGATTCATAGAAAATGATTTTTTTTTATAAATAGATAGATAAAAATAGAGAGGGAAAGAAAGAAAGAAAAAAAGAGAGAGAGAGAGAGAGAGAGAGATTGAATATAACTCGACATAGAAATACTTTTTTATAAATTCTCATGTGATTTAATAATAGGTCATCGTAACAAGGAAGTATATAGCACCCCTGGAATAAAAAGTATATATAGATATATAGATATATATATATATATGTATATATACATATATACTCACTGCGCTCGTTGTTCATGCTGAATGGCCCACTGACCGGATCGAACTGACGACACTGAACAACCTCGAGGGACACTTGGCTGTCCATACGTTCACATTTTCCTCGACAACCAGTGGTTCTCGTCCAATGAACAACTTTCTTCTATTTCTCTTTTTTTTTTTTTTACTTAACCATTAAATATTTGGGACAAAAAATGTCACCTAAATCGTCTAAATTTAGTCATCGTTGCAATTCATATATTTTTTTTCTAAGCTAATTGAATGTTGTTGACCATGCTTGAGAAAAATGTTTTACAAGAAAAAGTTAACATTTCTAAACAAGTTGAGAGTTGAAGGTATAAACTTAGACGATTGTTTATACGAGTCCAAAGTAGATATAATGTCGGAACGAATGTTCATTCTCAGAGAGTACAATATTGATATCCGATTATGAATGAAAATAAGATTTCTTTACCACGTCAGATAAAAATGTAAATCGATACGATCGATATTTATCATTAAATTATAGGATACTTGTAAATTAATAAGAAAACTTGAATGAGTCCTTAGGAGATATAAATATGTAATTGTGTTATAAATCGATATTGACATTATTTGTATTTCCAGTTATATATGGGGCCCTAAATAGATATGTGTCTTTATCAAAGTTAAGAGATCAATATTCTAGTAGTCAAAGCATATATATTAAAAGTTTTCAAGGTTTAAACGTATTTGCGATGATGAGATGGTTATTAGAAAAAAAAACGTCAGTGAGCTTAATTCGGTAACATGCAATTGTACTATAAATGGAGTAAGCTCATTGGTTGTTATTTCTAGCATAACCGATAAAAAGTTGTATTTATGTTGCTATACTACGAACTATGCTTTGTATCCTATTAGAAATATTAGACAGAAAAACATACGAATGGACAATAATGAAGTTTTAAAAATATAATAAGAGAGAGAAGAAATAGAAATTGTGAATACAACTAATATCGAAGTATCAATATGAGCTTTGAGAACGAAAGTATGGTTTATCATTTATGTACAAACTTTATCCAACTTGCAATGAAATATGCAAAGTCTCACTAGGATATACTTTTGTAAAGCGTCAATATCATTTCACTGACGAGTTTTACTAGAATATTTAATGAAATCAGTTCTATGCTAGAGTCAACTTTTAATATTCATCGTAATCGGTTTTCTAGCTGAATCATCATATAAGTAATGTAGACAAAAGATTTTAATAAATCGTTTCGTTTTACATATCAGATCACGCTAGTAATATGAGTTTGAAGTTTTTCCAAATAAATAATTAGAATGAAATGAAAGAGGAAGTTAAATAGAAAACATATTACTAGGTGAAAGTACTTATGCATTAGAATGAATTCGTACTAAGTCATTAGAGGAAATAATAATCGCATATCAATCGATTGGATAATCGCAGGAAACTCACTGATTTTAATTGGAAAAGAAACATTTTTATAATAGAAAAATCGTTAGTGTTGTTAGAAAAAAGAAAATTAAAATGACTCATGAAATGTAAGCAATTAGATTGTTTGAGTTTAGTTATGTAGTTTAGAAACTATGTATACGGTGTTCTAGTTCCTAACTTGGCGTTGCGAAAAAATCTTTCAAACAAAAAACTACGATAGATCTAATGATTAATTGGACATTATCATTGATTATATTATAGATCGGTATCACATTTTCTTATTCTTTAAAATGTTTAAACAAACAACAAAAAACTTTGACGCATAAAGGCCAATAAAAAATAATAATCAAATTAACCTAGTATAGGAGAAATAATTTGTATTCTTGAACACATTTTTAATAATCTTAAATTTTTCAATGTTTCTTTTTTTTTTCTTCAGAGGCGATTTCTCCGAACCTCTTTACGAGCGCGTTCTCCCGTTTCGCACGAATTTGTCGTTATACTTTTTTCTACCCTTTGCTAACTCGAAAGAACGTTAGCGGAGAAACAAGAAATGATATTGGATAATTACGATCGTGTATAGCCTTCTCCTAACAATGCTGCCCTTTCCCTTCATTGACAGGATCCCCTAAGGGAACGGCAATGTTTTCAATCTACTTTATACGTAGTTAATTTTTCAATTTCTTTCTGGTATGAATTAAAATTCATTCGAAAGTATACAATAATTATCAAAGATTGTTCTTAACAACATTCTGTGGCAACGACTTGGAACAAATTAAAATAAATGCATTGTTACGATCGTGTTAGAGCAATGATTACGAAAGTCTTTAATATTTTACGCTTCGTATACATCGAGCAAGTGAAACTTGATGGAAAACCGATCGGAGAGGGACGTTAGGATCGTTATGCGATGATCGTTTCTCTTCCATCGCGATTATGTTAACATAAGTTCGCATGATATTTCGAATAACGAACGGATTAACATCGTTCCGAAGCTTTCTCGTTGCGTAATATGTTTCGCACGATAGTCGGTTAGTCCTTCCTTGTTGCAAATCAAGTTGTTAGAAATTTTCTAACTATCACGTGGCTTCCTTCTAAAACTGATTCTACTTTTTATTTCATTTCTATAACCGTTCTTTTCTAAAAAAAGGTTTCTTCATTCGTTTTCTGATTTCTCGATCAACGAACACAATAAGTTTCTCGTCGGAACGTTATGCTAACGTCGAGTTTAACGTTTCTCTCTCTGTTTGGACGATGCGGAGTCATGGAAACGTTAAATTGATTCGTATCGTCCGGGTTAACCGCTCTTCTAACACACACACACACGCACACCGATATTAATTCATTGTAACGTTACACTTGGAAAGACCAAAAAAAAAAAGGAAAAAATCCTTTATCCGATACATCTCCTAATCCATTTCGTTGAATCGATTAAAAAACAAGACGAATGAAAAAATAAATGTAGACATTAGTAACGTGCGAGAAATAACATCAAGGCATACCCCAATTTTCTGATCGATCTATAAAGACAAGATAAAAGGATGAAGAAAGTGGACTCGTTTTATCACAAGACATAAAAATTAACTTTTATTAGAAAATAAATAAAAGTGTTGCTGCAGAGACAAAAAATGAAATTGGGGAGATAAGAAGAACGGGGAACGGGCGTTTCGGGGTTTTTTTCGGGGGGGGGGTGGATTTTAGGTGGGGGGTGGAGTGGAAAACAGGGCTAGAAAAATATACAATGACGTTAACCAATGTAATATCGTGACGTCTTCTTCAATATCACATGCCGCGCAAAATTTCGAGGTGCTGATAAAGAGAAGGTTGCAAAGACAAAACTAGGGACGAGAGAGAATGGGCTTCTCTCGGTAAGGAATTTAAGGAAAATTCGTAGATTTGGAATGTTACTGCGCCTGTTGATAGTGGGATGTACGTATAAGTGTCGATCATATGTGTTTTTAAAAATGTGTCTGTATAGATGTATCTAATGCGTGTATGTTATGCGATAGTGGACATTTTTTTAAGCATGATTGCCTGGTCTTGGTCCGTGGGTGGTCCAAAAACTAAGCTCGATCCTGAGGGGGGGTCGTTTTATCCTTCGTGATCCAAACCTTGTCCAGTCTTGATCCTCGGGATTACTCTTCAGACGATTATAATACTGTTTCGAGATTGAAAGGAGAGAAGAAGAACGGATCTTGTCTTCCGATGGTAGATATTATTTACGATTCCCTCGGAAGGGTCGAGCCTGTCTGGGCCACCTTGGACCAGCTGATTCGTAGGTAGGATGCTTCGAAGGATCTTCGTCTACCAGGGGTGATGAGCCACCGGTTTAGCTACGACCTTGACCTCGGGTTCCGGAACATAATGTTCGACTCCAACCAAATGAGGTGATGGTACGTGAACTCCGTGGTATGGTATTCTCACTGATTGAGTATGGGGTACCTTGATGTTCAGGGGCTGGGGATGAACTGGAGGAACAGGTGCCGGTTGAGGTACGTTGATCACGTGATGAACGGCTGGAGCATGGACCTAAATAAATAAATATTCAAATTAGTATCTTATGGTATCTCATATCTTTCTTCTTATTCGTAGATAAGATGAATATAGCAGACGTATAAGCGTCCCCAATATTTCAACATCTCTCCCCTTCGTCTTTCATTTGAGATAAGCGCGATTGTGCATACATATCCTCGTTGGAATAATATCCAATTAGCCAGTATAATTACGGTGTCCAAGTGAAGATTTCCTAACCAGTCGATTGCTATACCTGACCTACGACACCAATTAGATCCCTGATCGAGAACAGAGATCAAGACACTGACTGTGAGAATAAGATTTCATATCACTCTCGAAACCCTTTTCTCTTTCATCGTAAATATGATTCATTGTTAGATAGGATTATCTATGATTACCTGTGCATGTACCTGTGCAACTGGTACGGCGACCTTGATGTACTTTGGCGCAGGCGCAGGCGCTGGCCATGCTGAAGCTTGCCATGGATCTGGCCAAGGTTGTGCGACGACCTGAGGTATTTCAGAAACTTCTTTCAACGAACTATCTCTCTCGTCCCTTTCGACGATTTTACCTCAACCGAGTATCTGTTACTTGGCCGAGTACGTCTAGTATCACTCGGTTAACATGTTGAAGTACGTTCATTTCCACGATCGTTCTCGTTTCACGATCATTTCCATGAGAGAAAAAAAGACAGACAGACAGACAGATAGACAAAGAGAAGGTGAGATGAACAATTGTTAGCACCATCGAGAAGAAAATTGTTGTTTTTCATTAACGACGATGATGAAGATTATTCGACACGAAGAATCGTTAGCCACAATAGTTGATAAGAAAGATTTATTATCAATGTTATTTCAGCCCGAACCTGACCAATTTTCGGGTAACCAAGAGAATATAGATCATATAGATCTCATATAGATCAACGTAATCATGATTAGATCAATATTGGATTCGTAGTAAAATCGATCGACGATTCAAAATGAAAGTCAACATCGAATTACCTTAACAATCGTTATGTGTCTTATTTACGATTGTAATTTCATCGTCATGCAACGATCTTTTAGATAATTACAAAGTTATGACGTATAATTTGTAAATTGATGCAACTTACCGGTGCGGCCCATGGATGTCCGGGATAAGCACTAACAGCTACCACTACG